TGTCAAGGGAACATTTCGGCTTTCAGATGCAGAAGGCACGCCGTCTTCAAAAATGTGTCCAAAATCTTCCATTCAGTAATAGAGATCTAGATCTGCAACAGGCAGATGTCTCAGGAGCCAGCGCAGCCTGCTCCTCCCTCATGAGTTTGCAGTGTCTTACATTTCAGAAACACCCTGCTTTTAGAAGCAGGCCCCGGCCTTTCTGCATTGGCCCAGTAAGAACCATTTGCAAGGGACCTGGAAGTTGAGGTGTGGGATGACCGAGTCTAAGGCTGGGGAGATCTCGGGATCGCATTCGCAGCAGCAGCAGCAGCAACAGCAGCGTCGGCAGAAACGACGACAACGAGGAGGACAGCGACGGCACAACATGAACCTCAACAGCCTCCTTCGTCTTCATGCCCTCCGTGCCCGACCTTCGACTTCGCGGTCTGCCCCGACATTTTGTTCACCAGATCCGTGGCCTGCAGTGCTAAGTGGACAGCTTAAAGCAAGCTCTCCCAGGTGTCGAGGCTTGGTTCGGGTTGCTTGAGGCCGGTCTGGCCTGGATCGTGCCTCGCTGCTGTTCCCTCACTCGAAATATCCTCAAATCTGCTCGAAGGATTTTTCGGCCACAGACACTCCAGAGTCGTCTAACCGCGCCGGCACCGCAAGCTCGCATCTACTGATCACTACTGATCCAACTGAGCTGTGACATCAGTCATCGATCCATACCGATACCTACCTCCACACGGAAGTCTGTAGTCATGTTTCTACTTCTAGGTGACACCACCTATGTGCACTGCGCCAGGGCCAAAAACCGGAGAGGATAACCTGAGGGTCTTTATTAAATACAATACGCCAGCACTTGACGAGGAGCCACGTGTTTGGAACAGCCCCCAGCATTTCAAAGGAGCCGGCAAATAGCTCCTCCGAACTGCCAGCCAAACCTGAATCACTGAAACCAAACCGCAAACCCCTCAGCACCCCAAACCCCGGACTCCAAAACCTCAGAAGACTGCCCCGAGGTCCCAGGGTATGCCTGGAGCCGGCAGTTTATTGCTGCCTGCTCTGCGGCCTGTGGGCTTTTCAACATCTGATCTCATGCAAGGACACCACCACATGAAGTTCTTGGTTCGAGGCCTTGGTCTGTGTGAGGCACCGCAGGAAACCTAGAACCTGCCCTTCTCTGGTTGTATCTAGATTAGAGGTTTGGCCCTAGAACTTCCCCGAACGCTGAATGCATAATCTAAAACATTCGCCGAATCCAGCAACGCTCCAACCAAACAACGAAACTAAATGAACGGCTCCAGCTAGAATTTTCAATGCTTCACGCATATCCTCATGCCGGCGGCTCAGGGCCGGGGCTCTACATCATGCAGATTTAGTGACGGCCTTCGATCTATTTTAACCCTTGAAAGGGCTTGAGTCCAAGAAACAAGCTGCTTGAACCCAGCATGCTTCTGCCTCGGAAGCCTGGAACGTGACTGTCCTGAGGCTAGTGGTCCAGTCGTCCTGGCGACTCGGAGCCCACCATGCTGCACTGAGTCACTGCTACACATGCACATCACGCAGTCTCGGCTGGGATGCTTGTCGCAAGCAAGTGCCAGCGCAGGGAGACTCTCTGATGTAGGTTGCTTTTGGCGATCCATTGCCTTCATTCAGTAAACGTAAAGAAACACAGGATCGGCTTCTGCAAAGCCTGTGCTTTTTCGCCCTGAGTTCACACAACCTGGGAGTTTCAGCAAACCACGGATCCTTATAAGGCCATGATACAACTGTGCAGAGCATCTCGGCTCCTCGGGCGGTTGTCCGGGAAACGGCTCTGGAAAGCAAGTCGCCAGAGTGCTCGAAGCCTCATGTATACGGGTTTGGACTGCTAGCGACTTGCAACTGTCACAATTTAGGGCGGTGTGCTCGCAAGATCCATGCTGCAGACTTGTTCGAAGGAGTCAAGAAACAATGAATGAAATAGAAAGCAAGGGCCACTGCAATCACAAACTGGCAACAACACCAATCTGACGCTTGTTCCAGAAGCTCCACAACGAAGAGACCTGGAACAAGTAACCCCAAACGGCAACTCGACATGAACGCTCAACCTCAAACAGCATCGTGAATAACCTTCGCTGGCCAGTGCAACCCTCCAAATTCGCATCCGACCATAATAAGCCTTTCTGGAAGCCCGGGGCGTAGAACCTCATATGACATCATGTAACATAAGGACAATATATAGTGCGACATGATAGGGTGTGGTATGATAATTGTTCCCTCTCGCTCTGCCAAGGCTGCGAGGTAACCATGGTCAATCTGCTGAGAATGGACATCCTACGGAGAGTGTACATCTCATGCTGCTTCTGCACGCGCCACAGGAAGGGAGTGGCCAGTCCGGCACGACCGATAAGATAAGGTGTAATATCACAAGTGGCATCTGATCTGACATAGACAGTTGTCACATAATGCAACATAAGACGTTGCAATATAGAAACTTTATATTACAATAGAACAATAGAATGTAACAATACTCAACAAGCAAAAAGAAGATAACATGATCCGGTATAACATGATATAACATAAAACACGGAAATAAAACAGTTTAATATATCAAAGCACAAGATCAGATCAGATCATATAGTATATCATACAACATAGTTTTCTAACCTAGTACAATATAGTATAGTAGAACATAATATAATCTTCGCAGCTATATAATATATCTTGTACTGAGACCGCAACCCAGGAAGCCCTCGCGGCCTGGACGACAGGAGATGTACGAAGAACCAGAGTTGTCAGACCGACAGGTCCTAATGAGAATAGCGCCAAGAAGTTGGATGCCCTGCATTGCTAACCCAGATCAACCGGGTCTGGGTTGATTCAGATCCGATTCTTGCCAAATGCCCGTCATGTTCGAGGGAACAGCCTACGACTTCTACTGCTACCACCACCACTACCGCCACTAGCACCACCACGACCACGGCACCACTGCGACATCGACGACGACGACTACTACTCCTGCTCCTGCTGGCTTCTACTTTCAATACCAGTAGCAGTGCCAGTACCACTACCACTACCACTGCCAATGCCACTACCTCTACCACTGCCACCACCACCGACGACCACGACGACGACGACTACTACTACGACGACCACTACCACTACCACTACCACTACCACTACCACTACCACTACTACTATCACCTCCACCACCACTACGACCACTACCACTTCTACCACTAATCCTGCTCTCTTTGCATCGTCACATTTACCTTGTTTCGTGACGCTCCTGTGATGGTCGTCCATCTAGGGACGGCGACCAAACTGACAAAGTTGTTGCCAATTTACATGAGATTCCATTCTGAAGGTCTAGATGTCAGGAGGTCGACGGACTGTGTTCGGGTCCCCGCACTACTCTGAGTGAGCCATACCGCCGAATGTGCGGAAGCTCTTTCCTGAGAGTCTCACCGCCTGTTGCGCAGCCTCTGCAATAGCAGCAACTTGGCTTGGATCAGACCTCACCAAGACGGGAAGGAAACAGCTGCATATCAGCAAAGGAACACTGAAAATAAAACAACAGAAATAAACATGAACGTGAGCAGTTGGCTCTTCCGTCCTGTGTGGTCATCAGCCAGCAAAAACTGTGTGCCCTCGCTGGCCTATGTTTAACAGGAGCAAACAATAAACGCAATAGCCCTAGTCGCATGGATGCCAAACGCATCGGGAGAATCGCATGACGCCCAAACGTGCCCCACAGACTGCGGCATCCGACCCAGATCATATCCATTAAAACCCTCTCTCCTACAAACGTGTTGCTTTTGGACTTGTTGTGCGAAGGACTGCAGTGGCTCTTGGGGCTTGAGGTTGATTTTGCCCCAATTCGGGCGATGTCCCTGCAATGCGAGAAAAAATAAACGTATACCGGTGTCAACACTGAGCTCAGCCTACAATCTCCAGGGGCCCAGCTCTGCACCATTCAAACACGCAGCCGCCGAGGCTGCCGTTTGGGCAGACCTCTGGAAAGACATAGCTGCGATGACCGAAGCTCAATCTCACCACTGGGTTACATAATGAGGGTTTCGGTAATTAGGGCTTCTATAAGTATCAATTATCCGGGCAAGAGGACACAACAACAAGACAACAGCAACTGGGAGCCAGGCTCTTCTGCTAACTGCGCTAACATGTACATCTGCGCGGCTGCCTGGCTCTCCTCGGTGCTGTGTCCGATTTTCGGGTGTTTAGGGCAGTTTAAGGCTTTCAAGCTGAGCATGTACGCTTATGGTTGGGCGCAAGCAAGACGAGGAGGCTGCACAGTTTTTGGGTTGCAATTCAACCAGACCAGGAGAGAGACAAAGCCAATGCACCCCACTGAGTTTGGGCCGAGCCTTGCAAGTCTTTCAAAGAGCTGTGGGTATCACGGAATCACATTTCAAACTGGGGAACTGGCGCCACTTTCAGCAGGAGCAGGCCTACACAACGCACATGCTGCCTGTCGAAAGCCTTCTGCTCCTCTAGCTCTAGACTTCGAGCCCAGCCAAAGGCTAGCAAACCTGGACTCCAAGAAATCAGTGGCGATGTGTCTATAGATGACAGTGAGACATCGGGCTCAACATCGAAACTTTCAGAGGAGGTGGTGAGGTAGCGGCGCAGCCAAAGTACTCGCTGGCGGCGAGCCGGCCGCGGAGGGCCTCGGGTATCAGAAATTTCTGAGCAGAGCAGACCAGCTTGTCACCTGTGGATGAACCAACTGCAAGCAATGCCACACAACAAAGCACCACATCGTCATCAGAAGCAGAGGCCCAAATCTTGCAGTGGAGAGGCAGTGCCGGCGAGTGTGCAAACCTGGCGCGGAATTCTGCTTTGCATTGGCCGTTTCACATGCCTTCTGGCATCTCGGACGAGCAAAGCAGCTTCGTTTTCGTCCCTGATTTCGCCTCACTTGGGCTTTTGCCCCGGAAGGCCACGGGAATTACGGGTGTGAATTACGGCTCTTTTTCAGCTTCTGTGGAGCCGCTTCCGAGGCCGACTGCCTCTCAATCTGATGTTGGGCTTAGAGGCTCCTCAGGTGCAGGCTGCCCAGGCTCTTCTGTCTTGGTAGCTCTGGCATCCCAGAAGTGTAGCTTGAGCCAGGTCTTATGTTCTCGAAGGTGCTTCCTGACGTCCATGACACTCCAATCTGGGGGGTATCCCTTCATCTGGGCCGAGCCCGGTTCGTCACTCTGAGTTCTTGCAGCCTGCACGAATGTGTTGTAGATGGCGGCCTCGTCTGCATCGTTTGACCTTACTTGCCTACTTTGCAATGGAAGATGGGTGGTTTGCTGGTTCGCAATTCTCTCTCCCCCTCTCTTTACAACTACAGCAATTGTTAATACATGCAGACTTACTTACTTAGTTTCCGAGTTTGCAAATTTTCGGTGTTACGCCAGGCGGTTACATAATCTCAAAAGTTTATAAAGTTTATCTACTCAGCTACTAAGCAATTAAAACAAAGTTGCTAACTGGACTACTGAGTGGCATGGTTCCACTGCTCCAAGCCAGGCACAGCATCACAAGGGCAACAGAATCGGAATTCAGGCTGTGTGTTGCTACCATATCCTCCGAGTCTGAATCGTCATCATCGACGACAGATTTCTCCAGCTGAATGCCTAGATAAGGGCGGATGTCATCCTCAAACAAATCGAAATTTTGTTGCTTCGCCGTGCACACCTTCTGGTTGTTGCTGTTCACTTTGATGGTGTTCAATCTCGCTGCTGTTTTCGACGTGGTCTTGTTGACCGTTATCGAAGGGTTGTCCGTGCTCAGGCATTGAGACCACCTCTCGGTCTCTAAAGCTAGAACAATGTCATCAGTATCATCCATAAAGTCAATCTTGGCCTGATTGGCAATCGCGACGTGCATCACGAATGCATCCGAATCTGAAGGCATCACACGTCGCTTTCGCCTGTCGGTCCATTGCAAGCCACTGCAGACGATCTTCCACAACTGGATGCTGAGAAACTCACCCGATTTGGCGCGAAGGATTGTGTCAAGCTTCTCCATGCGGCCCACGACTGCGGGTCGGGGAATGCCCTTCTCCCTGACCTCCACGACAAATCGCGGGACAGAGGGGCTGTAGGAGACGCTTCTGCGTACGGTGTACTTCAGGTCGCCTCCGCGATGATTGCCTTCGTCAAAGAGGCGAATGTTACACCCAGATACCTCTGGGCAGCAGAGGAACTCCAACTTGTCTTGCGTGTTATGATTGTCGGCCATGTAAAGGTGACGTCCGGAGTTTGGAAGTGGCCTCCCATAGATGAAAGAGGCCACCACCCCCATGATGCAACGACTTTTGCGGGTGTCCAAAGACGTTCCTAGCGTGGCAACCTGTGTCTCACACGGCAACGAGATTTGCTATGGCTATTCCCTTGTTCGAGTGACATGGCGGCCCTAGGTCAAGGACTGTCAAACTCCAATATGCGGTCCTACTTCCTGGCATGGCGTGCGCATGACATAATGCCCACTGCACGCTGCGAGCCGGCTGCATCAGTACTGTAGGTGGTTCACGCTCCCGAAGACCAAATTTTCTTCAAGCATGCAAAGGACGTACGCGGCTTCCAGTTCAGAATGCTCTCATCCCGGATGCCAGTGTGGAGATCTGATTCGCACAAGCAGCACTCAAAGGCACAGGCTGAGCATCACCAGCCGCCGCGCCAGCCAGCGAGTCCAGCTGAGGTAGTGTTGGCATCTCGGCGACAAATGGCAGAGGGACATTCTGGGGTTGCCAAACTTCGGGAAGCCCTCAGATTCAACACCATCACCCTCGCCCCAGCCCCGACAACCAGCAAGGTCATAATCCGCATGATCGCTGCCGACCACCACCACCACCATAACCCTCACGGCACATCGCAGTCATAATCTGAATGTTTTTCGTCATCCTCGTCCTCATCCTTGTCCTAGTTCTACTCGTGCATGTCCTTGAGTCGCTGTCGTCGACATGTCCATCCCTCAACTGTGTTTTCCTATGTCTGTATCCTGATCCTCATCGAATCGTCTCCATCACCATCAAGAATCACCTCCAACCATCATTCAGCAGTGCCAGCCGCGAAGCCATCATCGCCATCCTCATCATCATCATCGTCACGATCAACTTCAGCATCGTTAAAAAAACACCATAAACACCATCATCAGCAAAAAGCGTCGCCAGCATCATCAGCATCAGCATCCGCAGGCGCAGCGGCGGCAGGCAGCAGCATCAGCCTTGGCTTTATTGTTGGGATTCATGCCGAAGGTTCACGACAGTCCGTCTGTATGGCATCTGCAGCATTTTAGAAGCTCGGATAAGTGATGCGCAACAAGCAAGTTATGGAGGCATCGTGTTGGCATCGCTGTCGAAAGATGGAAATACTACTGCACGGGAAGCTCATGGCCGCCGGAAACACCGCCGTCGCAGCATTGTCGGCATGACACTCAGCATTTGATATCACCATCAGCATATGCTCCGGTAGCAATACAGCCATTGCATGAACAACATGGGCGGCTGTTCACCTACCGTACGCAACAATGTCATGAAGCCGTGGCAATATTGTACAGAATTGCTTTTTGTTCTCGCATACAGAAAAAGACACACTTCCAGTTCTTTGCTCCACCCGGAGATCATTTTGTTGGTTTGGGCTGAGCTGGATCAGCACTGCTTCTTGGATCTCCTTGGCGAGCCAGCGGCATGGTCTCTCACAACTCTGACAAGCCAGGCGAGGTTCAACAGGTACGAGTCGGCGTGAAACAAGAGTTCCCGTCATGTCTCAGACTATTCATTCAGAGGCGCAAACCACACACAGGTTTAGTCCTTATGGTATTTAAAAGCCATGCAAAAACCACAATGTACTCATGAAAGTTAAGTATCATGCTTGAGAGATGTCGCTGCCTCTACCCAGCACAAAAAGTTGATTCCCAAAGGAGGCGGCCGGCACAGGCGGTGATGCCCTTGACCCGGGGTCGGGTGGTGCCTGGATTCCAGCCACTGCCTGACAGTATCGGATTCAGGGCTCACGGCGCCTGGCCAGTGAAAGGTTTCGGGGTCTAGGGCTAGGGTTCGGCGGCATAGGATTGGAAGGTGCGCCACGGCGTGAAAATGCTGCTTCCATTGTAAAGAGTTGCAGCCACCTCCAAATCTACAAACCTACCAGCGTCGGAATTTGAGGTTATGACCAGGTTGTGTAAGTGTAAGCCATGTTCACGACTGCAGGCCAACATCTGTTATTCAGGGGGCATACTTGGGGTGCCCCAGCCATCCTCTGCGGCCCCATGGTCCAAACCTTTCCATGCACATGTTGAACGTGCGTACGACATGTACATCCACGAAATTTTGAAAGAAGAAGAAGATGGAATTCAAGACACTTCTATACCATGCTTCTACTCAAATTGTCCAGACCGAGGCCAGAACAACAGTAGCAAAGCAATCCCTCGGAGAGGCAGTCCGAGGCAGGAAACGCTTGCAGGCCTCTATGGCGCTGAGCTTGCCTGCAGCCATGGCCTGAGGCTTCGGCTCGCAGGGGCATGGGGATACTATACATATATATATATATATTTATTTATTTATTTATTTATTTTTGTTTAGATTTTTTTTGTATGTATGTATGTATGTATGTTTGTTTGTTTGTTTGTTTGTATGCGAGAGAGGCACCTCTAGGGTCTATTTGGTGCAATGATGTGGTTACTATAGATGATAATATCTAAAATAATTAGAATAACTAAACTTTTGTAAATAAATTTTAGGCACTTTCATTTTGTTGACTATATTTAGTAGGGGAAATCCCTAGATGAAGCCTGGGAATTGAATTATTTTAACTATTCTAGCTATTTGCGCCCAAAATTTTAATGCTCAAAATAACGGTATTTTCTTATACTAAATCAGAAACCCAGCGATTTAAATTAATAAAATAAGTAAAATACTTCAATTAAGAGTGATTTAGATCATTGTAATTATTTGGGCACCAAATATTTCAGAATTCTGAAAATCCTGATTATTTTAATGATTGAAAACTTTTTTAATTATTGAAATAAGGTGAAATCCCTAGATGAAGCCAGGGATTTGGTTTTTTTATTTATTTGGGCAACAAAACCGTAAAAAATAACAAAAATAATTAAACAAACTACTAGTCTACTATACTTAATCAGAAACCCAGCGATTTCAATAATGAAAACAATTTAAATAATTCAAAACGAGGGATTTGTATTATTTATTATTTTAACTATTTGTGCCCCCACAATATTTACATGATTAAAATAATAAAAATCCTGGCTATTTTAATTTTTCTAATGTTTGAAGCCAGGAACTTGAATTATTCTATTTATTTGGGCCCAAAAATCCTTGAAACAATTGACAAATGGTTCCCGGTTTCAATTCAATTATTTAAATCGTAAGGTGTGGATTGTCTGGCGTGGACTGGGGATAAGGGCTGGGGGCTGGCTGGCCTCTCGGAGTGGGGGGTGGGGGGCCCTTCCCTTCACCCCTCACTCCCCCACTCCACTTTCGCTCGAAGTGTCTACTAACATGGCAGGGCCGCACCACTCAGCTCCTCAGGCTGCTTGATGTGGTCTCGAAACGCTACCGCTCTAAAGTGCTATTGAATTTTCAAAGCTGGGTATCGATCGTGCTCCCGCCACAGTACCGGGCAATACTAGGGGATCTTCCCGCCACAGTCCCATGCGATTCTCTCCTGCCAAAGTGCCTTGTACACTCTTGGCTGTGACTCGTGTTTCACCCCTTCGGAAGTCATGCATCTTCTGGCATGCCATTCGTGCTCCCATTACACAGAGCTGAGAATCATTCATATGTACCGCTTGAACTGTTAAATGCCCTTACACTGTTTGAGCCTACGTTGACATGACCAAGTTCCTATGATTTCTGCTACTATCACTGCGGTTACTGACCTATTCCTTTTTGTTTGCATTGTTGCTAGGTGTACTACTAGCATCAACCGACTATGAAGCCGGCGATACACCTTTTGCTTGCCCACCGGTCCCGTCTGCCTGAACTCTGGCTTGAAGCTCCTGCTCTGGCTGAAGGCTGGACGGTGGCATCACTGGTGCCTGTGGAGTTGGGAACAATCTGGTGCCAGCAGTGTATCCGCAGCCGTCGCAGCACAAGGAGCACTACTGGTAGTCGTCGTCGTCGTCCTGTCGTCGTCGTGGTGGTAGTGGTAGCAGCAGCAGCAGCAGCAGCAGCAGCAGCAGCAGGAGTAGCAGTAGTAGCAGTAGTAGCAGTAGTAGTAGCAGTAGTAGTAGTAGTAGTAGCAGCAGCAGCAGCAGCCGCAGC